AATAAAAAAAATTTTTTTTTGACTAAAAAAGTTATTCTGACGCTTGTTAAAACAGTAATGAAGAATTTATTCAAGAAGATATCAACAGGGTGGCGCCTGGGTGGCTCGATCAGTTAAGTATCTCACTCTTGGTTTCAGCTCAGGTCATGATCTCATGGTCTTGAGATCGAGCCCTGCTCTGAGTTGGCAGTGTGGAGCCTACTTTCTCTCCCCCTGTCTGTCCCTCCCCCACTTGTGCTCTCTCTCGAAATAAACATTTAAATTTTTTGAAAAATTTAGCAATAGGGGTTTTGCAACAGGAGAGAGAGACTGGGTTTAAACCCAAATACAACAAGGACAAGTGGGGATTTATAGCCAAGAACAGGGTGAGTGTCAGAAAATGGAAAATTACTGAGACATCAGGGGTAGGATTCTTGTTAAAGTGACCTAACACAATTCTTGCTACAGGCAGACCAAAGACATATACATCAAAAGTGGGGAATGAGGAACTTGAGATACCAAGGTTGATTACGTATGAAGGGTAGGAGAGTCTAATTTACAGGATTCTTTATTATTGTACCCCTATATTCACAGCAGGATTACTCACAGTAATGAACTGGATTAGTCAGGCCTAAGACAAGATGTGGATGAAGTTCAAGGCCTATTGAAAAAGAAGGCTCAGAGGAGGCTGACTAAAGTTTGGTCAAAGAGAATCTTTCTCATGTGTAATATTTATCAAAATTAAATATGCGTATACTCTTTAATGTAATTCTAATACTTAGAATTTATCCTATAAACATACTTACAAATGTATCCCAAGATGGTATGTATAAGGATTATCTTCAAACAATTATTAATAATAGCATCTAAAAGATCACCAATAATAGGATTGGTTAAATAAATTAAGGTACTTAATTTTTCCCCAATTTTTTTTATATAGTAAAATACAAATATTCGTCTTGTAAAACTGAAACTCTATACCCATTAAACAATAACTGCCCATTCTCCTCTTCCCCCTAGGCCCTAATAACTACCATTCTACTTTATGTCTCCATGAGTTTGACTACTCTTGACACCACATATAAGTAGAATACAGCATATCTTTTTTTTGTGTGTGACTGGCTTATTTCACCAACAAAATCAACATTTCAACATAACGTCCACAAGATTCATCCAAGTTGTAGCATATGTCAAAATTAGATTGTATGCATATACCACATTTTGCTGATCTATTCATCCATCAATGGACACTTGGGTTGCTACCATGTTTTAGGTAATATTAATATTGTTGCTATGGACACAGGTGTATAAATATCTCTTCAAGACCCTGCTTTCAATCCTTTTGGTTATATACACAGAAGTGGAATTGCTGGGTCATATGGTAATTCTATTTTCAATTTTTGAGGAATTGTCATACTGTTTTCTGAGGCAATTGTATCATTTTATGTTCCCACCAAGAGCAAAAAGCACCTTCTTAAAATGAAATAATATGTAGCTACAAAAAGAATGAGGTCTATCCACATGTGGTGATATAGAAAGATAGGCAAAACTCTCAACCAAAATGGAAGGTGCAGAACCATATTACAGTCTTATCCCATTAACAAATATTAAAATACCGCAAAATACATAAAAAATTTTTTGGGAAGACACAAAAAAACAATAGTGGTCAACTTTAGGGAGAGGTATTAGGAAACAATAGAAGGGTAGCTTTAGTTTCCATTTTATACCTTTCTACAGAGTTTGTTAGAAACTATTCCACCATTACTGGAGGCAGAACCTCTTTCTATATTATTTCAATTTCTTACTTTGGGCATAAAATATATATATGCTAAATATATGAAAATACAAATAAACTGTAGAACAAGGAAGAGATTTTTGAATGGGCTTATGCCACTATACTATTTACTTATTTTTCATGTTACTCAAACACCTCCAAAGATACTCCAAAGGTTAACTATATTTCAATAGTTTGAGCCATACCTTTGAGTGTTCTGAAAGGAAGTCTGGGAGGAGATAAACTTGTGCCAATAGCTCTGTGTAGTCACGACAACGAAAATAGTAAATATGGGAAAGAATATTTTCAAGAGTGAAATCCTCCAAAGCTTTTGGGTGCTCTAAAATAAACAAAACAATCTTAAAATAATTAGTTTTATTTGTTTTGATATATTGGTGATAGTAGGAAAACAATACCTTTGAAAAACAAAATGCTTCACCGTGAATAACAAACTCTCCACTTGAATTGAAAGATAACAAAATTGTAACAAAATTACTATAAACTATCATTGCATAATTCCTGGCCTCTTATTTTCACCTTCTCCACTGTTTCCTTACATACTAGGCTATTGAGAAACTGTTTATACACATATACAACTACAGTCTTAATGCCTGCCTTTTCGTATTTCTAGTTATTACTTTCACTGAATAGAAGTAACATAACGGAATTTCTCTTTGTTTTTTTCATATGACTGCAAATTAAGGGGTGCCTGGGTGGCTCAGCTGGTTAAGCGACCAACTCTTGATTTCAGCTCAGGTCATGATCTCACAGTTGGTGAGATGGAGCCTGCTTGGGATTCTGTCTCTGTCTCTGCCTCTCCCCTGCTCACGCTTTCTCTCTCTCAATCTCTCTCTCTCTCTCCCTCTAAATAAATAAATAAATAAATAAATAAATAAATAAATAAATAAATATTTTTAAAAAGTCAGATGCTTAACCGACTGAACCACCCAGGTATCCCATCTTTAAATGTTTTTTAAAAAATCAAACACTCTTTCTACATCACAAGCTTAAAAAAAACTTCCCAAACACTTTAATGATACAATTAAACAGCCATGAAGTCAATTACATTCTATACTCAGAGCCCCCTAAAGTCAATCAGCTTAATATTCCAAACATTTCCAACATGGTTTTTCAAAGCTACCTTTGGTTTATTAAAAAAGCCAGTATGGCAGTCAATATAAACTGAATGCATTGAATATACTGAATGCACTGGGACAACATTTACTTACATTAAATGTCCAACAACATTAATTTACACCTGGCAGGTCAGAGCATGATGATTTGAAATCATACACTGAAATACACACACAAGTTATGTGGCCCAGAAGCAAGGGTCATAAAAGGAAAAGAAAAAGCCAGTCTAGGTTGTGGCATTTCTAATTCTGTAAAAGAGATCTGAAGGTTGAACACTAGGACACTGTCAAGTCATTAAGCTTCATTCTAAATGGTTTCTTGCTGAGGCCTGAAAGGTACAATTGCAAATTACTTTTATTATACAGAAGAAAGAGGATCACTTGCTAACTTACCCTCTCCCATATGTGCTTCTGCTATAAGGTGAAGGTGCTGAATGCAGGCAGTAGCAAGGTCTACCACTCTATCAACCATAAAACTTCCTTCAGTATCAATAAAAACTGCTTCACCTTCCACTCCTCCAAAACATTCTGGTATCTGCACATCTACTGCCAACTGCATACTGTCAAGAGAAAGCTGAATGACCAAATCATAATCATCATCATAATCATAATCCTCTAAGGCAATGGTTTTCAATGCCACATCACCATCCATTAGGTACCACCATTAGGCTACAGATGTGGCTAACTCTCTGCTCCAAATATATGTATATCAATTGATATCTGGATTAGTGGGGCAGGGGGTGTACTCATAAAACCATGACTAAGGATTTTTTCATGGTTTTTAGGCCTCTGGGAAGGAAACCCTTTCTTATACATAAATGTAGTTTCAAATATTTGACTTTCAAATATACTCCCAGGAATTAATTATATAATAAAATAGAAGACTGCCTATTTACCCTAATGAACACATTACAATGCTGCAAAAGAAACGTTTTTGGATATCAAAATAATCCATATCAATTTATCAAAATGGGGTGCTGATGTAACACAAATGGCAAATTGATTTTTGTCTGATGCATGTACACACACACACACACACACACACACACACACACACACACACAATTAAGAGCACATACATGTCATTTTTGGTCTCCTGAATATAGACCCACAGCACCATATTCTATTACTTACATAAAATGTTATTAAGCCTACCCTTAAGAGGGGAACATTTAACTTTACCATAATTGTGTTTTTCCAACACCTGGTACTCCACAAATTTCTGTTGTTTTGGTTAAGGGTATTCCACCCCCAAGAATATTATCTAGTGCTGAACAGAAGGTAATTATGAAGCTCTGGGTATGCTCCTGCTCAAGAAGTTCCAGTGCTGTACACTTCTTGCCTGACTCAGCTACAGCAGCATATCTTGGTTTATTTGTGAGACATTCTCTTCTTATAATTTGCAGAGTTTCTAATGCTTCCTCTTTAGATATCCCAACTTCTGAAAGTAAAATAAGGAAAAAAAAAAACCAAAACACCCTGATTTTAGAAATTTAAAAGTCTAACATGTTATTGGATTGTCTTCATTAATTCTAATTTTACATAATAAGAGGGATGCCAAGAGTAAAGAAACATAAAAACGTAACATTCCACTAACTATTGAATTTTTCAAGTTAATAAAGGCAAGTATCTGTATTTTTTACTCTTTACATACTTTATGATTTACTTATTACCTCAAAAATAGAATTCAGAAACCTAAACCTTTAAAGCATTTGAATACTTACAAGAGTATCTAGAGGTAGAAATAAAAATTGGGGCGCCTGGGTGGCTCAGTCGGTTAAGCGTCTGACTTCAGCCGGGGTCACGATCTCGCGGTCCCTGAGTTCGAGCCCCGCGTCGGGCTCTGGGCTGATGGCTCAGAGCCTGGAGCCTGCTTCAGATTCTGTGTCTCCCTCTCTCTCTGCCCCTCCCCCATTCATGCTCTGTCTCTGTCTCAAAAATAAATAAATGTTAAGGAAAAAAAATTTTTTTTTTAAAGAAATAAGGGGCGCCTGGGTGGCTCAGTCGGTTAAGCATCCGACTTCAGCTCAGGTCATGATCTCGCGGTCCGTGAGTTCGAGCCCTGCATCGGGCTCTGTGCTGACAGCTCAGAGCCTGGAGCCTGTTTCAGATTCTGTCTCCTCTCTCTCTGACCCTCCCCCGTTCATACTCTGTCTCTCCCTGTCTCAAAAATAAATAAACATTAAAAAAAAAAATTTTTTTTTTAAATAAATAAAAAAAAATAAAAAAGAAATAAAAATGTACCCGCAGTCCCTTTTGGTCCCATGAAGTCATAGTTATCTTGCTCTAATAAGGTATCTAAATTATTTTCAGAAGAGAACAAAATGGCCTCCAATTAACTTTAAGAAATATATGTGCATTGGGTGCCTGGGTGGCTCAGTCGGTTGGGCATGGGACTTTGGCTCAAGTCATGATCTCACAGTTCGTGGGTTCGAGCCCCACGTCAGGCTCTGTGCTGACAGCTCAGAGCCTGGAGCCTGTTTCAGATTCTGTCTCCCTCTCTCTGCCCCTCCCCTGTTCAGGCTCTGTCTCTGTCTCAAGAATAAACAAACATTAAAGAAAAAAAAATTGAAAAAAAAAAAGAAGTATATGTGCATGTATTATTCATAATAAAAATTTTTATGGAAACACTGTCATGAAAAATTCATATATCACTTCAAAATTATTTACTGAGAATAATTTTAATGCACAAATATTTTAAACAGTACACTTATGCTTCCTTATCTACACAATTTCATTCCTATCAGACAATATGGCTTAAGGAAATGGCAATTACAAAAGAAGCTGCTGGGGCATCTGGGTGGCTCAGTCAGTTAAGCACCAGATTTCAGCTGACGTCATGATCTCATGCCTTGTGAGTTCAAGCCCGACATCGGGCTCACTGCTGTCAGTGTGGAGCCCGCTTTGGATCCTCTGTCCTTCTCTTTTTCTCTCTCTCTCTTCCTCTCTGCTCCTTTGCTCATGGTCTCTCTCTCAAAAAGGAATAAACAGGGGCACCTGTGTGGCTCAGGCAGTTAAGCTTCCGACTTTGGCGCAGGTCATGGTCTCACGGTTCATGAGTTCAAGCCCCGCATCAGGCTCTGCACTGACAGCTCTCTCTGCCCCTCCCCTGCTCACACTCTGTCTCTTTCTCTCTGCCCCTCCCCTGCTTGCACTCTCTCTCTCTATCAAAAATAAACATTAAAAAAAATGTTTTAAAGGAATAAACATTAAAAAAACAAAAACAAGCTGCTAATAAAAGAAATAATGTTGAAGGTGACATCACTTATGAATTTGATGTCAGTGCTTGATTTAGTTAGGATATGAATGTAAATTTGGTGCTAACAAAAGACAACAATGGTGATAAGGAAATGAAAATCATGCCCAACTAAAGAGTCTAAACTCTGGCGTCAGCTTTCTTGGGTTTGTAAACCCTGACTGAACCACTTACTATGTAGTTACTTAGTATGGGCAAGTTACTTTTTTTGCCTCAGATTTTTTCTTTTGTAAAACGCTCTTAAATTTTTTTTTTTAATGTTTATTCATTTTTGAAAGACAGAGACAGAGCACAAGCAGGGGTGGGGCGGAGAGAGAAGGAGACACAGAATCTGAAGCAGGCTCCAGGCTCTGAGCTGTCAGCACAGAGCCCGACGCCGGGCTCGAACTCACCAACTGCAAGATCATGACCTGGGCCGAAGTCGGACGCTCAACTGACTGAGCCACCCAGGCGCCCCATCAGATTTTTTCTTTTGTGAAACGGGAATAACACAATACATGTTGAAAAGTTTGATAGAATACAGAAGCCATCCAAAATGCTCAATAACTGTTAGCTATTATCATGCAGATTCTCTCATTTCTTTTTTGTAATATCAATATATTGAAAGAGCCCATTAAAATTTGGGAGGCAACGTGCAGCTTAAATTTAAAAGTTAACTTGGGTCTACATTTATTCTTGAATGACAAGTTGAAACTTCCTTATTTTCCATTGTTGAGGGCCAAGATTTAAAATTTTGTCTATCTTAAGAGGACAGTTCTGAGCACACCATAATATAGCACGTGGAGTGGGACTGACAGCATACAGCTTCATTTTTGTATACCTCATGACACAGTGGTTCCCACCAATGTATCATTTACAGTGTTCTGGAATAAGAGGTTTGGGGGGGCGTTTTGTTTTGTTTTGTTTTCCACTGAATGACATAAAAGAAGCAATGTCTTCTTTGTATTGCTTTCTCCAGGTTCTGGGGATTCTGCTCCCTTTCTCGCTCAGTGTCTCAAATCCTTTCACGAATCCTCCATTTCTCAAATGTAATCCCCTGCCCCTTGGATTTTGGAACAGCGAAAAGATATCCTAGCCCAGTCATCATAAAAAATTACTTAACCTCTCAAGCATCTGTTCCTTCATCAACATATTGTACATAATAATCCACGTTAAAAGGGCTCTTCTTGAATAATAAATGAGATAATGAGTAAATGTTTTCAAGGCCACAGTTCTAACCGTTCAAACCATGTTTAACTGGAGTCAAGGAGCGGTTTCACTTTACAAACGCAGCGTTGGGCGGAGGAAACTGACGGACACTGGGCTGAAGCCTGAAGGCGGAAGAACCGAGATGGAGGCGGCACAGACGGGGGTCCGTGTACCTCAACTTGCCATCAGGAGTCATTACCTTTGCTGAGCTCGGATGGTTTCATCTCTAGGAGTTCCTCAGCAGTCTGGAAACCTGCAGACACCAGCTTCACCCGCACCGCTGGGGACAGCGGGAAACTCACTAAATCCCGCTGCATTTCAAAGCCCGACACCCACGCGCGCAGCGGCGCCAACCCAAAGTTGCTAAACCCCTGCCACAGCGCCGCACGCTCGCGCCGGCCCGCGCCGTGTGACGTCACGCGTAAGCGGAAGGGGCGGGGTCTGCGGCCTGACTGCTCGAGGCCTAGGACTTGGCCTTACTGAGGAGGAATGCCGGGTTTTCAAGCACCCGCACCATTTTAGTCGTGGTTCTTCCAAATCCCATCATGTAGGGTTTTCCCATAAAATGCACATCATGACAGTAAAAAGATGGATGAAGACCGCAAGACAGAGACCAGGCCCTACACACGACATCTCACCTCAGCCCTGCCCCTTGAGTGGAAACCTCAGAGTTATTAATAGGAATGAGCTCCCTGAATGGGGGTAACGCACACCCTGGCTAGTTACCGGTTTGGGATATAGAATGGCCATATAAGGATTAATCGGTGCTTCCATTATAGGGTTCCACTTTCTTGGCTTTTCTTGTCGGGTGTCCCCCTTGCCTTCCCCCTTCTCCTTTCCGGCCCTCGCCTGCGCGAGGGATTGTGGGCCAGCCCCCCAACGCCGCAGGGAGCACTGGGCGCCCAATCCCCGCACACACCCACGCTTTCTCCGCGAGTCCAGTGTGAAGCATGGTGGTTTTCGAGACCGTTGGTTCAGCGCCTACCTGGCTTAAGAAGTAGCTGGAAAAGTAAGCAAGTAATGTCCCTGTGGTGGGCTGGGCTCCCCGTTCTTAAGAGGAAATAGTTGGGCTACGCAAGATCTCCTACTCTGGTACAGAGTTGAGAAGGGCCCGATTCTGAAAGAGAACTTTGAGGGAATTGAGGCGGTTTGGAAGGTGGTTTATGCAGTCTTTCCTTGGCTAGGTGAGTATGATTTCTTTAGGGGAGTAACTCGTTCACTACCTTTTGGTAAGATTCTTAGCCTTGATTTTTTTTCCCCTAGCTTAAAGGAACTGCCTAAATATTGCAAATCAGAGCTCCCTAACTACTTAAGATCTAAGGAAGGAAACACGTTGAGCACTTTAGCAAATCCCACACATTTTAAGTGCTCACAATCATACCACGAGGTGTAAAACAAGGACATAGAAGCTTAGACAGTTTTCTTGAAACAAAAATTACCTTTCTTCTACCCTGAACTACCTCCAAATTGTGAGCCCATCTTGGGGTGGGGGTTGGGAAGTAGAAAGGAAGAAGTGTTTGTCCCCCATTTGGTAAGGCGGGGAAAGTCTGGTAGGACAAATCAAAATAAGGCTTGTTTGCCACTCAGTGTTAACTACTAGTATGAGTCACATCTGGGCACACAGTGGGCATTGCATAAACGTAAGGAGAATTCATGATTATAAAGCAACCAGTCTTGGGTGAAGAAGAGGTGGTGTTAACATATTCAGGGTTAGTCCTTCAGTTAGTTTGCTCAAACTCAGTGGAATCGGTCGTGTTTAGAACTTAGTTTCATTGACAGTGGAGAGTTAAAAGTAGACTCTGTAGTCCTACAATTAAGCGTTATTAATATCTTATTTTGACCCTTGAGTTGCCTATAATTATTGTCAGAAATTGCCTATAATTGTTGTCAGAAAATTTTTAAGATTTCTTGAATGCATTTTGCTCTATAGTTAGGCTTTCAAAGTAGGATCCAGGTTTATGAGGCCAGGCACTAGGAACTAAACAAAGCTATGAGATTTTTATGTACCTTCCTATGCTGTCAGAGTCTCAAAAAAAAATTTTTTTTTTTTGAGAGGGAAGAATTGAATGATTTAACTGGTAAGCTACTTAAAACACATTAAATAAACCAATATATTGTAAAGTAAAATGCAAACATAAATTTTCGGATAAATATAAGAAGAAAGATCCAGTTCAAACTGGATACCTCTGTAATCATCCAAAGCCTCCTGGGAATATGGGTGTTTTTTCCTTTGCAATTTGTGGTCACTTGATGAAAAAGTTTGAGAGGCACTGCTATGGACAAATGAGCATGAGCTTTGGAGTCGTACAAATTTGAGTTTCTATCACATCTCAGGAAATTACCATCTGTGAGACTTGCAGCAAATTACTCAGTTTCATCTCCTTCAGGTGGAAAGTAATATTTCCTGGGGTTATTGGAAAGATCAAATTAACAAATATAAAGTCTTTAGCACAGAAAAGGTACATAATAAATTTTAGCTTCTTCATTTTAAAATACTCTAATATGTGTATTCAGCTGAATAAAGCTTTGTTACACACTAGCTCAACAGAGTGCTAATGCTGTGAAACATGTTTTTTAAATGCCTACAATTGTAAAGTGCCAGAGAAAGGTGCTTTTATATATATTTAATTGAACTTGATACTTACAATAATTCTGTGATGCTTACAATAATTCAGTTTACTGGGCCATTTTCTAGAGATACTAGAGAGGAGTAATCTGAATATTTCTGTTATGGCTGAGGAGAAATTTATTTTCTTTTAACCTAAAAATATAGAACTTCTAAAAATGGTGACCTTGCATGTTCAAGTGGATTTGGGAATGGTGAGAGAAATGAGTGCTGTTTGGACTGAGAAAAAACTTTGAACCAGGCTTAGCTTTAGAGGTGGTTATGATAAGGGTACCTGGGTGGCTCAGTCGGTAAAGCATCTGACTTCAGCCTAGGTCATGATCTCGTGGTTTCCGACTTTAAGTCCCAAGTCAGGCTCTGAGCTGAAAGCTCAGAGCCTGGAGCCCGTTTCAGATTCTGGGTCTCCCTCTCTCTCTCTGCCCTTCTCCCACTCATGCTCTGTCTCTCTGTCTCTCTCAAAAATAAACATTAAAAAAAGGTGTTTATAATAAAGCCTGTAGCCTCAGACACATATTTGGAACATCACTGTCAATTGCACAAAGCCTTATACATGGTAGGAGCTCCATATATATTTGTCCTCCATAAACTCTTGAAACATTCTTCTCATTTCTGTGATGCTACACTCCTCCTTCCTACCCAGCTGGCTTTTCTGTCACCCTTGGAAACTCCTCTTCCATAACCTGGCCCTGAAATGTTACAGTTCTTTTAAAGCCTCATAACAGACCTGTTGCTAACTATTCTGTCTCTCTCCTCTCTTGTTCCCTCTCATTCTCTCTTTCTCTGTCTCTCTCTGTCTCTCTCCTCTCTTGTTCCCTCTCATTCTCTCTTTCTCTGTCTCTCTGTCTCCCTCTCTCTCTCCCTTTCTTTGCTATCTTAACTCACATTCACAGTTCAGTGACTATATGCCAGTGATTCTTAAATTTATATTTCTAGCCCTGCCCTGTTCTCTGACCTATAGAAGCAAATATCTGATAGCGTTCTGAGCAGTGCAAAGTCTCTCAACTCAGCCTGTCTTAAACCTAACTTATCTTCTTCAGCCCACTCCCAAAACCTTGTCCTTTTCCTGCATTTCCTGCCTCCAGAATTGAATATCCATCCTTCCATGTGCACAGACCACTTCCCTTCCACTCCCCATGTTTGATGCACATGCAAGTACTATCAATTTTCTCTTTGACATATCTTGATGATATTCATGTCTCTACCTCTAGGTCAAGCTGCCACCATTTTGCTTGCAGGTACATAAGATCATTTTAGTTGGTCTCTCTGCATCTTCTCTTCCTCTCTAGTTTGTTCACCCATGCTGCAGCCAAAATGTTCTTTCTACAGTACATTTCAGTTCAGGTCACTTCCTATTTTGCTCTTAGGATACAGAACAAATTTCTTAGACTCCCTTTTAAGGCTATCATAGCACCAAATGCCTCTGTGTGATCGTTTACTTAACATATGTCTCCCCAACTAGATTGAAAACTTCAGTAGAGCAGGACCATATGGATTTTACTCACTGTTGTTTTCCTAGAGCCCCTAGCCCAGTGTATGACTTTAGTAGGTACTCAGTAGATACCTGTTAAAAGAAAGGATGATTAGATGATTGACCTGCACCTCTCTCCCTATACTTTTCTATTTTGTACCTTGGTGGAAAATATATGGTAGAAAATATATACTTACAGGAAATATATACTTGTAGAAAACAAAATGTAGGAAATATAAAGAAGAAAATAAAATTGATTCACATTCTGTTTAACTCAGATAAATTTTGGTTTATTTTATTTTTTTGGTTTATTTTAATCTTTCTACAAGTTCACATAAAAGTGTTTATTTTACATATTTGTGGTTAAATTATGAAGAAATTTGTATATCTTTTATTTTACACTTAATATTTTGTCAGAAGCTTTCTCCCGAGTAATTACAAATTATTTGAAAATTAAGTTTAGTGGTTGCATACTGTTCTGTCCTGAGGGCCATCTTTCTAATCAGTGGCCTATAAATGTACAGTTGAATTATTTCCAGTTGTTTTGCTGTGATGAAATAGTATTCTGTCTCTCTCTTTCTCTCTCTGGATACATTTCTGGAAGAATTCCTGGGTCCTCTAGAGAGTATGTACATTTTCATTTTGGATCATACTGCCAAATATTTGTACCACTTATACTCCTATTGACAGCATATGAGGGCTAGTTTTCCCACCTCCACCCCAGCACTGGCCCTTAGCAGTCTTTAAGTGCTTTTTCCCCCCTTCTTTGTTATTGAGGTATAATTAATTTTATTTTTTTATTTTTTTTAATTTTTAAAATATTTTTGAGAGAGAGACAGAGTGTGAGTAGGGGAGGGGAAGAGAGAGAGGGAGACACAGAATGCTTGATTTTAAATTGTTATCTTTTGGGGCGCCTGGGTGGCGCAGTCGGTTAAGCGTCCGACTTCAGCCAGGTCACGATCTCACGATCCGTGAGTTCAAGCCCCGCGTCAGGCTCTGGGCTGATGGCTCAGAGCCTGGAGCCTGTTTCCGGTTCTGTGTCTCCCTCTCTCTCTGCCCCTCCCCCGTTCATGCTCTGTCTCTGTCTGTCCCATAAATAAATAAAAACGTTGAAAAAAAAATTAAAAAAAAAATAAATAAATTGTTATCTTTTATTACTAAGAGAGGTTAAAAATTTTTTTCATATAGTTTTCATGGATAAATATACCTTATCATTGTAACTA